CATTAAATTTTCTTCCCCTCTTCCCCTCTTATTTTCTTCATACCAAACATACTCTTGGTTTATTTAAACACATTTTCCTATTATTTAGTTCCTTTTGAGTCATATTGAGTGATCTATCTCCTCCTGAATTTCAACGCAGTTAAAATATATACATGTGATGTCATGCAAAATTTAAACAATTTATAATTTTTAACATTACAATTCAGGTAATAACACACATTAAGCTCAATAATAATGAACAATACTAGATTCTCAAACAGATGCCAAATTATTATTAGTTATTAATATAAATTTATTTATATATATAGGTTGAGAACAACGAGGAGGGAGAAGATTCTTTTGATTCTAATATTGAAAGAACAGCCAAGGGGAAAGTGGGATGAGAACAAAGTTGGTGTCCAATAATTATAATACATATTTTTTGTGTGAATGATTTTAAAAATATAGAAATGAGTGCATGCATGGTGGCAATCATTGACTAAGCGCATCATATGGGACCATTTATGGATTATTAATTTATTATTATAAATTGAACTCCACCTTTAATTATTTCAACAACAATAAAATATTTCTAATTTTATCAATTAAGTTAATTGGTATATCCTTCAGCATATAATCTTTTATGTCCATTTCCTAATTAGGTTGATTTTGGATCTTTTTACTGACTGTTTAGTTGGCAGATATTATCTAATGAACTTCCATATATGTTAAGCGTTGCAGTACTTATAAGAATTAATTAAGCATGTTATTTTAATTAATCATCTATATCAATATATTACCCTCTCTATCTCTCTCTCTAATGACATAGTAGTACACAATTAACATTAATTAAGCTGCACCAGTATAAGGCGATGTACTCGTATCTGTGAAAGAATTGTTTTCTTCATTTAATTGCTATAATTTTTGCGCGATATACAAAAAAATGTGTTTATTTTTACTGATATTACTGAGAATTTTTTATATGTATTCATTGAAAGAAATTTTAATCTGATCTTAACAATTGTTTATTTCTTGTACCACGTGATAAAAGGTGCTTACTATGTATACCAATTATATCTATAGGCAGCAATGATAATTTATATGTGTAACATTAATCATAATATTTTTGATAAAAGTGTATATTTAGTCCTCTAACTCCAAATTCACCATAATATTTAATTTGATTCATTAATTTTATAAAATGTCCTTTCAGTCCTTTAATTCTAACAGCATTAAAAAAAATGTGGACATTAAGATTTAAAGCATTAACAAAACATTACCAGATAATAACATTTCAGGTTTGATTTAAAAAAAATCAAACATTATGTAAATTGTAAAAAAATAAATGTAAATATTTTAACAGATGACAAAAAGAACCAATAGAATTGTGTAATAATAAACTCTAAAAATAGCTGGCAGCGCAGGGTCATGTTCAATTTGCCCTTGTTTCTAAGCAACTCTCTTTTCTTACTGGTCTCTTGTTTGAAGACAAGACTTTTCCCCCCTTGGAGTATTCCTCAAGCAACTTGTTCATTCCGAATCCACACACACAAAGACTTAATCATATATATATATATAATTCATATATATTGCCCCCAAACTTTTTTAATTCATAATTAACAATCCCCATATGATGTCATTCCTTTGTTTTAATCAGCAGAAGCTTGTCAATTGTGAAAAAAAAATACTTATTCCAATTATCTTATCCTTATATCTCTCTCTCTTTTTTTAATATATCTCGATCTCATAGTTATTTCCAATTTTATTGAAACTGTGGATTATTTCTATATATTTTATTTTTTAGATGAGGTACAGGTTAGTGCGATTAGGTTTGCGACCTCGGTTAACTACTTGACAAAAATAATTTAATTTCATCCGAAAAATATCCTTTTTTTTAATTCAAATTTAATCTCGACATAATAATATATAACCTTGATTTTTATTTAATAGAATTCAATGTTTTTATGGAAAAGAAAGCATCTGTGGCCTGGAATGGAAAGAATATTATGCTGTGTATTTTGAATTTATAGTTTTGACGTTGACCAATGTTATATAACAAGTAATGCCTCGTTTGGTGGCAAGGAATTGGAAGGAGAGAAGTGGAAGTGGAAGTGGAATCAACCTTTTTGTTTGTTTGGTGTGCTGGAACTCAATTCTCTAGGAACTCACTTCCACCAAAAATGCTGGAACCGACTTCTACCCTATGACCCATGGAACTCATCCAGTTACATGGAAGTGAATTTTTTCAGACCATCATATCCTCAATTTTATAATTTATTGACAAGTTTGCCCTTAACATTATAACCCTCCTTTCTTCCTAAACCATTCGACAACCTCCTCCTTTAGCAACCTCCGGCGACGACAAACGTCCATGAGAAGCAGTGATAATGATGAAGAAGCACAGCTGAAGACACCGCCGACTTCAGATCTAAAGGTACAAGGCGACGACGGCTTCATCTGAGATTAGGAGGCAGCAGATTCATCATATAGTTGGAGGCGACAACTTCAGATCTATGAAGCATTGGAGTTGTAATCATTTTCCGCCATCGTCCTTGTCTCCCAGCCTTTCCCTCACGGCGGTGATGGCTTCAGATTTCTCAGATCTGAAGCCGTGAGGGAGACTTGCGAGTTGCAACCATCTTCTGCTGTCGTCCTCGTGAGGGAGAGGTTGTGCAGACTCGCGATCATCCAATTTGATTCAGACTCGCGACCATGAAGCCATGAAAAAGAGATTGTGATTTGCCCAAAACTCTCCGTCCTCGTCGTCTTCCTCTTCTCTTATTTTATGGCGATGCCTCTGAGGCTCTGCTTCTGAATCTTTTTTTTTTTTTTTTGAATTGCTATTGATTATTGATGGCTGATAGTTGTTAAAAATGGAGGATGATGGTTGTGTTTGTGGTGGCCGGTGGTTATGGTGGATTGCTACGGTGGCTGGTGGCTGACGGCACGACTGAGAATTTGGACTGGGGGGAGGTTTCTTTTTTTCCAGTCAAGGCATATAGGTCTTTTCACATTATAAATGGATATTTTTATTACAAATTATATCTCACTTCCATTGGCATACCAAACATACTTTAGAATTCACCTCCACTTCCACTTCTACTTCCACTTCCATCAAAAGCTCTTCTATCATACCAAACGAGGGTTAAATTAAAATTTTTGATCGGGTCAAAATTTCTCAGACAAAAAAGCAGTCAATATTTCAAACCAGGAGGAAAAAAATATAACGTGAAAGGAGTAAAAAGAAAATATCAAAATTATTGTGGATGTGTTTGGTAGCTCTTGAGTTACGGTGTTTGGCCAAATCAAGATCTTGAACTGTAGGATAAACTCATTCGGTTTGATTTATTATTTAACAATTTGCATCCATTTGTTGTAATATCATTTTTAATTGACTTTTTTGTTGCCACAATTTTTAATAAGGATTAATGTCATTGTTGATCTAATATTGATTTTGATATCTATAATTTCATTTTAATTGATGCATGTCGTAAATTATGAAATAAAATGAACATGTCATGATTGGCGCAGACAATCAGTAACTGTCAATAAAAGCACAAAAAAGGTTGAGTCTGGCTAAATAGTTAATCTTTCATAACTTGGTAAATTTTCACAAGAAGACATATTTACATATAGTTTCTAATAATATTTCAAACATGATTCTCTTTTATAAGAAGATACATATACTTAGAAAAAATCGTAATAAAAACACACAAGACAATTTACAAGAAAATTTTATTTTCCAAATTCTGTAAGTGCATGGTACTCTTATTGAATTTAATGTTAAAATGAAAACATGATAACTATATTTATATTTTTTTCAGAATTATATTTATTCAAATTATAATTATAATAGGAATAGAAATAATATGAATAATTAAAAACTTCAAGTATCCTCTAAAAAATTACTCATTTTATTGAGTAGAAAGTCGAATGAAAAACAGTCAGTTATAATAGGGTATGTTTAGAATAATTTATAAATAATTTTTTTAATTATAATTTATAAAAGGAAAGATCCTAAAAAAGTGATTATTAAATTTCAAAATTCTAAATTAGTATTAGTTACTATACTCGTAAAGAAAATGACTACATTCGAAAAGCAAATGACAATACATTTTTGTAGTAATTCTTGATTTAGAAATTTGAAATTTAATAGTCATTTTTTAAAGATTTTTCTTTTATAAAATATAAAATGAATATATGAGAGTACTTTTATATTAATTTATGTGAAATGTGCGTTTTTAAACGCCGCCCATAATCCTAGTGCGTTAACCCGAACTGAACGCCTTCTTGATAATTGCCGCGCGTTTGTCTTCAGACAGCTAGCAGGGGAGAAGAACTGCATATGCGCTAAGGACAAATGTAGAAGATAAAACCCAGTCTCAAACTTGAAGTTTGCCCTTTGTAATTACAAAACAAAACCCACTTTATTTTTATTTTTATTTTATAAACATGGAGATAGATTTTTATTTCAGAATCTCCAACCCTATTCCTTTTGGCTTTTATTTTTGTGCGGGACAAACTCCAAATTTCATAGCAACATAGGCTTCAAATTCTTCCAAAGCCTAGTGAATTCTCATATATAAAATTTTAATAAAAACAGGTAAAATAAAAGAGTATAAAAATTAATTAATTAAATTGATTAAAAATTCTCTTCCTATATGAGATGAATTTTGTATGTAAAAAATAATTTTTTAAAATAATTACATGTGTTTGCTAAACAAGCACTAGATGACAGTGTTTTTTTATATGGAATTATTATTATTTTCCAACTGAATGTCATGCTAAGAAGTCTTAATATACAAAACTAAATTGACCATTCTCAATTAGAAAATTACTATCACATCCCCGGTATCATGGCGCATTCGTTTAACCAGAAAGGACAGTACAGCTCCATCCACCCCCGCATTTTCATATTCTGAGACAAGAAAAACGAAAATATGCTAAAATAAAATATATACTAATTAAAAAGGCAATTGCAAATTACGTCTTAGACGCCGACGATCCAACCAATTAACCAAACCAAGCTCAAATTGGTTCTCCACTGTTTTGTTGTTCTGGTCATAGAGCCAGCATCTCCCTCTTTTTCCCCTCCTCTCTCCTCATTCTCTGTTCTTCGTTCTCTTCATCTCTCTCTCTTCTCGATTCAGCTACAGGTAAATCCAGCTCAGTCAACTCGTTTCGCTTCTGTGGTTCATCTTTTTTATTTCTCTTTTCGCGGATTATCTGCTGATGTACTTGTTTAATTGTGTGAATCGGTTTGCTCTTGTAATGTCCTAGATCCTTCTTTATCATCTTTTTTTTTCTTTCTAATTTTGTCCAAGGGGAGATATTGCTTGGTTGTTATGGTTGATGTTGATTTTAATCTCGTCAAAGAAAATTCAGTGAACTGACCATGCCTTGAATAATGCGATGGCTTTCCATGTAGCTTTGTTTTGGTCAAAATCTCTTAGTTCTCGTTGCAATCCCAGTGATGATTGAAAAGATTATTGGTGATATTATTGATTTTGGAATTTTGAAGTCTGTTCTTGGATTGGAGTTCTAAGGATGGTTACTATAGGGCCGGTGGTGGTTGTCTACTTGTTTGGATCTGAATAGATTCACAATTTACACTATTTTGTTTTTATTTGCTGTTCGAGACTTGGAATATTTGATGTGTAATTAAAGGGATGAGCCTTGGAATTGACCAAAATCTTATCCTCGGTTTCCAGCAGGATTTCCTGATTGAGAGAGGGAGAGAATGTCAGGAGGCACGCAGAATAGTTTAAGAAAAGCTCTCGGAGCCCTGAAGGACACGACAACAGTTTCATTGGCTAAAGTCAACAGTGATTACAAGGTGATTCTCATGCGCATAATCTCTTTCATCACATGCTCAGTCACGCGTATTCCCATATCTCCTTACATGATATCATGTTTTGCAGGAATTGGACATTGCTATAGTGAGAGCCACAAATCATGTGGAGCGTCCATCAAAGGAGAAACATATAAGAGGTTTGTCCGCTCCCCTGATAACTGTTCGTCCTAATGTATCGTTTTGTACAGGAACTTGTCCTATTGATCTGTTTTTGACTCATTCTATGTTTTTGCTACTTGCGAGTTGTGACGTGCTTATAGAAGGGATGGTTTGTCAGGTGTTAGGGTCTCTGCTCCATCTATTGATTGTTTTTCTTTTCGCAGCTATTTTTTCTGCGGTCTCTGCCACTAGACCTCGGGCTGATGTTGCTTATTGCATCCATGCTCTCGCAAGACGTTTGTCAAAGACACATAACTGGGCGGTAGGTATATCAGGTTTTAGTAATTACGCATCTGAGTTGTGAGTATTTTAGATACCATAGGGACAAAAAACTTTTCAATGTATTCACTAAAGGATGGGGAACACGTTATGGAGCTTTTTGGAACTCGTGTTTGCTTGGCAAGTACATTTTTGAATAGTAAAGTCGTTTGGGCATTTCATCTGAATTCATTCTGCTGGATGCTTCTGTGTCATATGCGGCTATGGTGGAAACTCAAACATCATGTCTATGACCTTACTTAGTATGTGATCAATTTAATCATATCTTGCATCTCCCCATGTTATGTGATTGAGTTAATTTTAATCTTTTCATCTAGAAATGAAAGTATAATATTTATAGAAGCCATGTTTTCATGCCAACTTCTGTGGTCCTCCTGTTCTATTTTGGCCGAATCATGCATGCTCAATGTGCTTCTTTTCTGTTCCTATCATCAACTGGTGGTTGTTGGCTTACTGTGATTTGGTCAATAGAAATTTTTGCTGATAGGGTTTGGAGCCGCTGTTGTTTGAGGAATTGTGTGTTTGTGCAATTTCTATACGGTTGGCTGACAGTTTGTTTGCCCACAGGTTGCTTTAAAAACTTTAATTGTTATTCACCGTGCCCTAAGGGAAGTGGATCCCACATTCCATGAGGAACTCATAAATTATGGCAGAAGCAGAAGTCATATGCTCAACATGTCTCATTTCAAAGATGATTCCAGTCCAAATGGTAACTTAGCTTCTCTTTCTGCCATTGATGTTGTTGTCACTGCTACTAACTCCTTGGCATTTATTTGTTGCTCAGCATGGGATTATTCAGCATGGGTCCGCACTTATGCATTATTTTTGGAGGAAAGACTGGAATGCTTTCGTGTATTGAAGTATGACATTGAGACAGATCGTCCAGTGAGTACAAATCTTCTAAATGCAATATATGTTTCATTTTGGTCGAGTATCTTTACTGTATGTAGATGACCTATGTGAACGTAATTTATTAAAGAAGAAAGTGAGATGATAACCTGATGCAGAATAATACTCACCTATGATTATTAGCGACAACCCATGCACATTTTGTTACTTCAATGCTAATAATTAACACCTTAAGGAACGATAGATTAATTGTAATTTTTGTCACAGAGGACTAAAGATTTGGACACTGCAGAGTTGTTGGAGCAGTTGCCAGCATTACAAGAACTTCTGTTTCGTGTTCTTTGTTGTCAGGTATACTTTTAATTTACTTGTTCAAGTTAAATTGGACTATAACCAAGCATTTCACAGATGATATGTCCCAATATATGAAACGAATCTTCAATGGTGATGCACTATAATTTTTTTAACAACTGATAAAACTTTTATGTGGTGCAGCCAGAGGGAGCAGCTGTGAATAACTTTGTCATTCAGCTAGCACTTTCAATGGTGGGTGAATTGTTTACGCTTTTTTTGGATAGTTTTGGTTTTCATTATGCTTTTCTGAATATAGTTTTTGTTTTAAGTAGGTCGCTTCAGAAAGCACTAAAATTTATCAAGCTATTAGTGATGGCACTATCAATCTGGTTGATAAGGTATAGTACGGTTGTGAGTTGTCTTAAATATGAAGCTTCAATATTAAACTTTTCAAGTATTAACGAGAGTACTGTCACAGTTTTTTGAGATGCAACGGTCTGATGCTTTGAGAGCTCTTGATATATACAGGAGGGCTGGGAAGCAGGTATTACTTGTAGAATTCTTTTTTATTCTTCTATTTGTCCCCGTGGTTATCTTTTAATATCCTCAATGTGACTCCTTCCAGGCTGAGAGACTGTCTGAGTTTTATGAAATATGTCGAAATCTTGATATTGGGCGAGGAGAGAAATTTGTTAAAATCGAGCAGGTTTGTTGGCTCATGTCTCTTGCCTTTTCAATTACTATTTTCTTAAAATATTTGTTTAAATACAATACTGAGTGAAATTAGTTGATGACATGAAGCCCCCTGCATCATTTCTGCAAGCCATGGAAGAGTATGTCAAAGATGCTCCCCGGGATTCAATAGTCCGCAAGGATCAGGTACGGCACTGTCTTTTCTAATCTGAACACATATCCTTACAAATCAGGAATTGACAAGACTGATGTTATGGATGCAAGTGCAAAATGAAAAAGAAGGAACTTCTAGTTGTTGTACTTATAATTGACGCAGTCATATTCCTATTGGCTATCTACTTGTCAATAACAAAAATATGCTTGCTGCTAGAAGTCGAATGCAAAGGGGAATCATTTTGACACAAGTTGTGATTAAGAAGATGGTCCAACCATTTTGTAATATGGCAGCTTGGTGAATATTTAAGTCACGTTATTCTCATGCCCAAAAAGCTTTGGAGTAATACATTGGGGTCTAAACATATGGAATCTCTGTTAATACCTTAATAAACTGATTTCCGTGTATAATTATGGACCAGGGCATTGACAACAAAATTGCCCCTCCAAAAGAAGTTTTGGCTATAGAATACAACAAGACATCAGAGGCGCAGGAGGCACCTGCAGCACCTGTGCAGGAGTCACCTCCACCTCCCCCTCCTGAACCTGTAAAAGTGGAAGCACCTGCAGCACAACCACCGCCTGATTTGTTGGTAAATTATTGGAACTCCTCTTAGTTTCCTGCTTTTGACTTGGGCTGATTGCTAACTGGCTGATTTGGATACGATCTGATTTTTAAATGATGCTTTAGCTGCAACTACGAACTTACTTTGTTTTGGCTTGCCATCTAGAATTTGGATGATCCTGTTCCTGCTGCATCAGAGTTGGAAGAGAAGAATGCCTTGGCATTAGCCATTGTTCCTGTTGGTATGCTGTTCTTCCTTTTCCTCTATTTAATTGTATTGGTAAAATAAGGTTGTGGATTTGCACTTGTGGGTATGAATAAGTTATTTGATTATAAGTGGACTGAATGGTTCTCTTTGAAGAAGAATGATTCTAAACATTCTTAGGGCTAAACCTCCGACTTTTAACGACTTAATTGAGTGAATTATGCTTTGGCATTCCCTTCATTTCCTCCCTTGGTGTGCAGCTAAAATTTCAATACTTTAGTCTTGTAGGCATGTATCCTAGTGTCATTTCTTATGACTTACTCATTGCTGATGGTTTCAGCTGATCAGCCAACTTCTGTTTCAAAACAAGAAAATGGAACTACAGGCTGGGAATTGGCACTTGTTACAGCTCCAAGTTCTAATGAGAGTGCTTCTGCAGCTAGCAAACTGGTGAAGCCTTATTTGAAAATTTCTGCTCAATTTAATATTCTGTCCTTCATGCAGTCAGTTCATCCTTTTGTTATTCTTCTAACGGGTGTTGATGGATTATCTGAATGATCAGGCGGGAGGGTTAGACAAGCTTACACTAGACAGCCTATATGATGATGCAGTCAGAAGGAACAACCAGAATGTGAGCTATAATCCATGGGAGCCTGCGCCTATGGGAACAATGATGCAGCCGACAGTGCACGATCCATTTTTCGCTTCTAATGCGGTTGCTGCTCCTCCTTCTGTCCAGATGGCTGCCATGACCAACCAGCAGCAGGCTTTCATGTTTCAGCAGCAGCAGCAGCAGCAAATGATGATGATGGCCCCTCAGCAACAATCTTCTAACCCTTTTGGAAATCCTTATGGAGCTACTGTCCACCCCTATGGCTCGGGTGTGCCTGTTCAAGCGTACAATCCATACACCGGTCTCATGTAGACACTTCACCTGGAAAACAAATTCTTTCTACATAAAACTCGATGAAGAGAAACGCGGACGCTCAGTTTTGGATTCTGAGATTGGGAGACACCAAGGATAGACAGACTTGTACTATATGTTGTGTATGTGCAGTAGATAGCAAGAGTGAAATTCTTTATTGAATAATTTAGTGAGAGAGAGGTTTTTCATTATTTGGCTATTAAGTTCAAGAAAACTGATAATGAGCTTTTATTCAGACCACTTAGAATTTTTTTCTTTCTCCTGATCCATTACTGTTAATGCGTTAGCAGAAAAATTGTTCTGGATAACTTCTCTCAGTTTTTTCTTTTTGTTGGATTTTTTCATGTATGATAGAAATTGTTTGTATCATGTGATTATTGATACTTCATTTATCAAACAAAAATTTGTGAACTGTCAGTTTAAATGTTGTAAGTGATCACTTGTCAGCTTCCTGTAGACCACTTATGAATTTTCTGGGTAAATGCTTAATATATAGCATCACCCCACTGGCTGTTAATTTTGGTCCGTTTTGTTCCAAATGTTCAGTTTTAGCAGTTAAACCCAAAAGAAATGATTGGAGAGTGTCACAATACTCTTGCCAACAAAATTTACATGTCGTACAAGATAAATATGTAAAAAAAAATTTTTTGTCTCGATTTATGTAAAAATATTTTTTTAAAATGGTTCCAAGAGTTGTTAAACTTGCTAAGTGAAAATGAGTTCTTCCATTAGTTGGGGAGAAGTTTTCTGTATGGAAGTTAATTCTTGATGCTTCACGGCTAGAAGGAATCATGTCTAATATACAGTAACCGGATATGATTTAAGGTGTAATCAATGGTTTGAATGGTACATATTTGCCTACAATTAAATGATCGAGAGCCAGCACAATAAATTTGTGGGCGATTAGATTTTTCTTGGCATGTATAAATATTATTTATAATTATTTGCTTATTATATACTATCTCCGGTCCTTAATATAAGATCTTGTTTGACTTTTATTTTGATCCTAAATATAAGACTCTAATTCATTTTGTCTATTATATTTATACTTTTTTTCCAAGTTAATTCTTCTAACAATAGTCGTTCTAACCAATACACTTGATTAATAAAGATATTTTTGGAAAGACAACATCTATTTATTACAAGTAACTAATTTAACTTTTTTTAATCTTTTCAAATTAGCTAACTAGCTCTTATAATTAGGATCAGAGGTAATACGCTGCATCCTGTTCCCCTCTCTCTGTTGTAGTCTTCCTCTGATGTGCTTTCTATCCCAGAGTGAACTGAGAGCAAATAGAGAAGATGGTTATGATGTCATCTAAAAACCTGCCAAAGTGGATGGAGGAGAAATAATAGATGAAAACGATTGTGGTGCAAATATCAATGAACTACGATAACTGCGGGACAAGGACGGAGGCTACCATAAAGCTCAGTTGATGGTGAACCAACCAAGTATCTCTGCGGAATACAAGTGATTTTCAACCCAAAATAAAAATAAATAAATAACTAAAAACGTAAACGGAAGAGGTTAGTTCTCATAACGTGACGAATTAAGATTCGAATTCTCGTTGAAAAAGATATTCACATTTAGTACTCGACAGAGCCACAGATAGGATTGCTTTCAATAAAAAGATATATATGTTTTGAGGTGAGGCAAAAAAAAAAAAACATAAGCTAAGAGGGTTTCATCGAGTAACCCGAAATCAGTAATGACGCGATATGTGTTGCCCAGCAACTCTTTTTTTTTTTTTTTAAATCTTCCTCCTCATATACACCCTCTCTTCACATGCACCTTTTTGGGTGGGTGATTTAGTTCAAGATTTTTATTATTTAATTTAATGCAGGGGTGGTGGTCACGTGTCATGTCTCACGGGCTTTTTTTCCCCTTATTGTGTTTGTCCCATGCATTAAATCGGCGTTCTTATATTTTATCCACTACATTTGATTCATATGCATGTATCATCATCCATTGTCATCAACTTATAAATACCTGTCAATTTTTTCTACTCGTTGTCGCTATAAGAACTTATATTTTGATTGTCTGACCTTTAATTTTTTTCCCCCCAACAAAGATATGAAGTCGATTTTTTTTTTTGGTGGCCAGAAGAAATGTAGTTTGACAAGAGTTTTTATTGGGTCTCTTGTATTATTCTCAAGAAAACATGATTATTATTGTACTAGAAATGTTCATTCCTATTAATAAGGTTGAGTCTAGTGGATTGACGAATTAATATTTTATTAAGAGAGTTGTTTATATTTAGTATCTGATAATATCTTGAATAATATTACCTCTAATAAAAAGATATTGTGATTAGCATAACAAAGAAATGTTTATTCCTTTAATGTTGTAGTGTTGAAATAAGTCATATGTTAATTGCCCCGTTTTCATTCGTATAATCTACAGGCAAGATAGTAATCATTTATACAATTCAATAAATTATTTCCTTTATTTGAAAAACACAAAAAAAGAACTATTAGCCTTTTTTCCCAATTAGGTAAAATTTTAACAGACTTTAGGTCTTTTTGCAAGGAGTGGTTGAGGCTTATTAGTTGGTTGAAGACATATTAATTTGAATTATAATAAAAAGAATAGTATAAAGGGTTGAACATATATTTGTTGCTTAAGTTTTGGATTAGGATGTGGCGAACATATATCTTGAAGAAGAATTATATACTTAATTCTGAAATAAAATTGTGTATGCTGAAGATTTATACACCCGCCAGTAGTTGAAACACAGGCCAGCCTTTGAAGTTAAGTCGCAAGCTTGTGAAAATACACATTTATACACAAAATATTTATTCTACGAGGAAAACATAAGAAACTATAAAAACAATTAAACATCCTTAATTTGGTGACTTCCCTCTCCAATCATCTTCCTCATCTCTGACTTTTTCCCCAGAGACTTCATTTCTCTTTTGCTGGCTTCGATTCGGAAACCTCAGTACCGCACTGACCATTGACCCAAAACTTAACAAGAAAAATTTACTAAATCTTCACTTTTACTCTTAATTCAGATGTCTTGGTTCTTCAAGACTCTCCAGTCCAACGACGACCTCCAATCTCCCCATCCTCACACAGCCGTTACATCCGCGTCTTCACCAGAGCGGAGCTCCTCCGGCAATCGCCACGGTGGCTCTGCGATCAAAGATGACGTATCCTCTCTTTTCCGAGGCGTCGCCAATTTCCTCGCTCCGCCGCCATCTTCTTCTTCCGCTGGCAATTCTGTGGACTCGTCGTCAAGAAGTCTTGATGTCGATGGGATCAGGAACGATCTGGCGGAAATCGGTGGAACCTTCAAGAGCTCGCTCTCCCTTCTCTCCTCCAATAAAGTCGTCACTGGAATTTCTGAGTTTGCCTCTCAATTAATTCTGCCTGAGGGCCAAGCTTTAGAGGATGATCAGGGAGATGATAATGGTGAAGGTGATGATCGGAATGATGGGGTTGTTCCGGGGACGACGGATGAGGTTGTTCGTTTTGTGAGAGAAATTTCTAGGCGGCCCGAGTGTTGGATAGAATTTCCATCGCCACTCGATCATGGTATTTCCGTCTCTCTTTGATTATGTGATAGTAAGGTATACCGTTCATGGTCTCTCCCCGTTCTTTTTCAATTGAACATGTGTGATTCTTGGCTGGTGGGGGTTACTGGAATTAAGTTGATCGCTTTGGGAATTCTAGTTCGAGTAAACAAACATAATGATAACTAATTAGTGGCAATTGCATTTCCACTTGAACTTCCTGTGTAGAAGGTTGGTCTTTCTCCTGAATTCTTATTTTGGAACTCCTACATTCCATTTTTCTGGTGGGAAAATGAAGTTTTTTCTTTGATTATTGGCTGATAGGCTCGCAATATATGGAAGGGCCTAACTGAACTTATGAAAGGATTGAAGCTTTATCTCACTTATTCTGCCATAGAGGACTTTAACTGTTGCTTGTGTGTTTTGAGGAGTATGAAAGCTCTAACTTCAACAGTTTCTATATGATAATATGTAAGATTTATTCTTGTGAGAAGGCCAGCTCAAGCTCCACATGATTGTAACGTCAACAGGATTCTTGTGTCCTTCAACATAAGTCAACACTCACCTCTGCAAATGCTCTTTGGAAGAAAAATGATTGTGACTTGATCTGTCAGATAGTTTATAACATTGCGAGTGCGTTTTGTGTGGCATGCATAAAGCAAGATAAACCCAACGAAATGTGTTGTTCTTTGTTCTTTTTTTCCTGCTTCAATACTAATTAAGAAATTTCAATTTGATTTGACAGATTTCAGCATGTCCAATTCCCAGAGAGAACATGTATTAACTATAGAAAGACTGGTGCCTGAATTGGTTTCACTTAGACTCAATCTTTGCAGCTACATGAACGTGGAAAAATTGGGATGATCTACTTTTTGCTGTTGCTTCCAAGACTAGATCAACGTGGTTTTGAGTGCCTGTCAACCCCAAAGGCAAGCTATGTTTCTTCAGATGTATTTTCGATTTTTGAACCTGATTTTCAGTAATGGAGAGCTCTATATATAGTCTCCTTGACCAATCAGATATGGTCATTTTACTCCACGATTATATATTATCCCTATCATCCTTGTAGATTTCTGTGATAAAATAAAAAACCCCCAACAAATATTTATATTCCTAACATTTCTTGTACATATGAAGGAAGTTTGTCGCTCCAATAGAAAAAAAGCTCTATAATAGCAGACATTTTCTATGGTTTTAGTGTATGCCCTTGCCTATTTTAGGACCTTCGTTTAGTTTTTGGCGTGTTTATGTAACCTTTTCAGGTGGTTTGATCTGTGGCTCCCATGACTAAGATTTATCTGTTTGAAGATAATATGTGTATATGATCCTCCTTTCTTTTTTTTT